CTTCGGGGTGCTGCCCTGTCCCCGCTCGCAGCCTAGGTGGGGCGGGGGGGCCACATCCCGACCGCTGTTGTGGTTGTCCCAGGGGTGCGGGGCTCCCTCACCAGAAGCCACTGCTGAGGCAGCAAGGCCAGAGACCTGTTGCAGGGGGAGGGACAGGCCCGGCGTTTGCAGGCCTGGGGGCCCCTCGGAGACCTGTCCGGTGCAGTGGCATAGTGTTTGGAGAGGGGCCTTGGGGTCGGTGTGGCCCTGCTTCTGGGAAGCACGGACTGCTTTGAAGGAACATCCTTAGATTGGGATCTGCCAAAAGGATTTGTACACGTTGCACACTGAATTATGCAGTGATCATTGTGCGTGTGGTATGTAGTGATCATACAGTACGGAGTGCTCCCATGCGTCAGAAACGCGGGCATTACTCTTGGTCATGAAATGAAAGCGTTACCCGGGAAAGTGCATCGTTCCTTCAGCTGAATACACTAAACCTGACCTCATAAAGACTTAACACTGAGCTCCATTGTTTGTGCTTGGTTTGTGGTTTTATTTTTTTTTTTTGGGGGGGAGTTGAACAAAAAATTTTTCACCCTGTGGATCATGGGGAGCTGGGCTTGCTGGCGTCACCTCTGCAGGGATTTCTCCCTGAAATGGCCAAGAGGGAACGACTCAACGCTCGGCCATTTATGTCCCATTTTCTGTCTTCCTCAGCAGATGGCAGCAACGGCCTTTGTCTGACAGGGACCCGTTGTACCCGTTGTGTGCACGTGCAGTATCATTTACAGGTTCACTTTTCAAGATCGATCATTTCACCAAAAAAAAAGTTTCGATTGAATGATAATTACTTTGGATCTTCTTAACTATTTTTAAAACAATGCAAAGAAACTCCTCCAGAATAGTTAGGTTTATTTGGTTAGAAAACCTGAAAACCATTTACAGCTCATATTTTACTAAATATCTGAATTTTTGATTATTCCAAACACTCTACAACTGACAATGAGCACAACCCTGGCTGCAAAATACACTGATTTGTTTTCATTGGTAAACAAAGTATATTTTGGGGAGGAAACAACCCCCTTTGAGACATTTGTTCTCAGATGATTTAGCAAGTATCTGTTGCATAGGAAGGAAGAACAGCCCATTATCAAGTTTGATGCCCTTATTCTCTGGCAGTGCTCAACAGTATTTACACATTTTACGTGATGTTCCTGATGAATTACTATATTTTTTCTTAGTCTCATATCTTTTAATTACTTAGCCTGAGTTCAAGGTTTGTCCTTTTCTCTGTATTCACACAGACTGATGTCATCAGTGTTATTATAGTTTAGTATTTATCCATGTATACGTATATACGGATATGGCCTATATTATGTTGTCATCTACAGGCTCAAGGATTTATTTTTTTTTTTTTAAGTAACTAGGCCTCAGGATATTCTTGCTATTTGGTAATGACTTACGACTTCAATTTAGGGAAAACTGACAGCAGATTGATCAGGGCTCAATCTGTATTTGTCAATAGTCTCTAGACTGCCAGATTTGACGATGCCTGATATCTGAAGCAATATCTTCACGTTTTCTGCCCTTGATGCCATTACTTCTACTTAAAAAGGGAGACAAAGGTCCTTACGTTAAGGATTTGGTGGTGCCTCAAGATGTGAATTCATCTAGTGTTCTTTTCAGAAACACGTCCATACAGACTGAAACATCACGAGTGTGAATGGATTGCTCAGACCCAGGAGCCTGCATACAGAAAGCTCTTATTCTTTGTGCAGAAATATTCCAATGGGCAGGCACGGTGGGCAGCACAAAGCAGAAGAAGCAGAAAAGGATAAGGTGGTTTGCCCACATTGTGTTCATTTTTCAGTGTTTCAGCACTGTACGTGGGGTAACCATCCCTTTGAAACTTAGGAGTTGTGCTAGTACATAATCTGTTAGTAAGAGCCACCTTTAAGAAGACTGGAAAGCACAAAAGGTAATTTGAGTCTAAAATATTGTATGCTTTAATTATTTTGACAATCAAGAATTTAAAATTAAAAAAAAAAAAAAACCCAAACAAGTTAAAGAATGAAGAAGTTTAAAAAGTTGCTACCAGTTGCCACTTTCCGACCACGGCTATGGAACTTACAGTCTCCGTGGAGCAAAGGAGTGCTTTGGGTGCAGGCATTGAACTGGGACTCTGGTAGTTTCCTATGCCACAGCTTGCTGTTTGACACGAGCCAGTCATTCAACCTCTCCATATGAAGCCACGAGGTCCTTTGGGATGAGCAGGAAGACCTAAGAGACCTTTAATCTTCATTCATAAAATCAGAATACTTTACCACATCGCTTCTTTCATCATCTGATGTTCTTGTCAGTTGAGAATCTAAACCATTCGGAGCAGAAAATCACGTACTATCAGCCAGGGGGATCCGAGATGGCTTATCTTTTTTTTTTTTTTTTTTTTTTTTAACATGGTGGTTGTTTCTAAATACTACTTCAACGTGTACAAATAATCATTTTGAAGAAGTGAAAGTACTCCAGGATAGAGATGCAGATCTCATCGAGGTACATAAATATGGAACTCAGAGCATAGTTTTCAAATACAGTCAAGGGTGCAGTTCCATGCTACAACTAAACAGTTTTCTGCTTTGGAAAGGAAGGTCTCATTCCTTCGGCCTTCTCCCTCACTCTTTTCTCCTGGTCCCGCTCCCCTTCTTTCCTTCACTGCTCCTCCAGCCCTCCACTTCTGGCTGTACAGTTCTTTGTGCTCCCTACTTTGTCCCATCACTGTCAGGCATCGGATTGCAAAGTAAACTGATGCAACTCCAAACCCCACAGAAAACATGACTGTAAATTTTGTAGATTTAAGTTTTTAGATCTAGTGAGTTAAATCAACTCACTCTGCTATCTATCAAGTGAGCATCAGAGTGAGCTTTTAAGAGAGGAGAGCACATAGGCAGAAGGAAAGGAGGAGACTGGGGAGATGATGAGGGGAATGGTTCTCCTTGTTTCTGTGCCAGGAAGTTCTTACCTTGTCTCAAATCATCTTGTTACATCATACCCTGAATTAGAGGCAAGGAATAAAAAGCACCGCCTCCAGAGATGCACGAGAAAACCCGTGTGGTAGGAGGTACTAGCGCTCCTTTGGGGTTTTTGGACTTTCCAGACTTTGATTTCACATTCTTTTACCAGGAGCTGAGCCTGATTCTCTACTGCCTTGCACTCAGTGAACTGTGCAGCAAAGATCTAAAATGCTGTGACTTCAAAAAGCAAACAATAGCGGGGGGGGCAAACACTTGTTTTTTACATTATTTCTGTGATCATCTTGGGTCATTTTCCCAGTCTATATGTAGTGGTCAAGACAGAGAGGATATAACAACTAATGAAAGAAGAAATAAAGAGTTTCAGTTTCGTTCTTGGTAGCATGGCTGATTCTCAGAAGACCCGTGTATGACAGTGGTTCCAAATGAGAAATTAAGAATGATGATGAGTGTCATGCATAGCACTCTACAATTTGCTTTCTGCTACATTTCACCTCTTTTCTGAAACAAGGATGCTATTCAGTCCAAGCCCATCACTGATAATACAGCACAGTTCCTACAGGATCTCCAGATTGTGGGAATGAACCTGGACACCCCTCCAGCAGATGGTGAATCGGTACAATGATGTTCTCTGCCTCAAAGACACATCATCTTAATTTATTGCTTTAGTTAAGTTTATTTTGTTTTTCTTCACAGCTAATTTTAGGCAAATTGGCATGTTTCATTATCAGGCATTCCAGTTCTGTTAATTCAGCAGCAGTATGCTAAGTTGCTAAGTTATTTTATGCTAAGTTATTTTAGTGGAATTTGAACCCAAGCATTGTACAAGTACAGTAAATACAAACGCCATTTTCATGCATCGTCTTAGAACAGCGCTGCTCTCTTCTGTGCTAGAACATATTTCTTCCATTTTTGATTGCTATTGCACTCTAAGTAGTAAATAAAAGTGTGGGGGTTTTTTCTCAACATTGTCTGAAAAATAACCCCAAAATGAAACTCAGTTCCAGTCTCTTGTTGGGTCTAGGCTGAGTGTTACATCTTACAGCTTAGTTAAGCAATGAGCTCAGGAATTTCCTTTTTTGGTGATTGTTATAGGCTTTGTTGCAGAATATACCAGGGAGGAGGGGAAGAGAAAAGGAGCCTGCTGGGGGTGAAGGGGACTTAAGTCAGCTTTATGTCTCCATCTGCTGTGGTTAATTCCCATCTCCCCGTCTCC